AATATAGGATAATAAATTATATAAATTTTTTAAAAATTTTTTTATGTCGTATCCCATCAGGACTTTCCAATCATGATTCTTCACAGATTCCTTTTATGTTTATTTTTATAAAATAAAACTTTTCTTGGAAAATTTAATGGTGTGTTACTCCGTTGTTTTCTAAAATCTCACCAGTGTTTTCTCAGACTGGCTATAACATGACCTCTGGAAATTTATACTAAGAATATTTAATTTTATCTTTTAGCTAATAGTGAAATGAAATAGATTTATTCTTTTTTCCCAAGGCTATTAATGTTAAAAAAAATGCAACAGACTCACCGATAGCCTTTAACACTATAATTATACATTCTTTTGGAGAAATATATTAAAGAATGAAGGTGAAATTGGAAATGGGTTAAAATAGAAAGAACCAAATAAAAAATTGTATATACTCCATCAAAAAATTTTGAAAATAAAAAACATTTTGAATAAAATAAAAAATAGTTAATGACAGATAATGTTACAGAAGACAAATTATGGAATTGTCCAAAATTGGAAATTATGTGAGAATGTTAAGCAAGGAATAAATATAGATGATTGGAAAAAGAATGTTGGATTATTTGGGGTGGAAAATTTAAAAATTAATTGTCAATTTTGGGGTTGGGGGTGAGAAGTCTATTTAAATTTATGTCTATAAATGTATTTGGAAAACTTATTTTTGATGATAATTTTAAGGAAGCTGAAAATGTGGATCATATATCTTCTGAGATTGGAGAATTCCTGACAGAATTTACTCGTTATCTGAGGAGAATTCTTCGTAATTTGGAAAAAAAAAAATCGATAAAAATAATGAAAAAATATCTATCATTAATAACATTTGTCTTAGAATAAAAATTTATAACTATATATTTATAGCGAAAAAGAAACATATATATAGACTTATATATGATTTGAGTTTCAGATTATTTTCGGAATACAGGATATTTAATCTGTATATAATATCTATAAAGCGAGACAGCTTGGGAATGTTGACTATGCATAAACACAATATCTCTTTAGATTTCATAAAAGCACCAATGCATATATCCTGAATTTAATTCTATATAGCAGATGCTTTATAACCACACACCATTTAATATCTAATTCCATTATTTTCTTAAATTTCTATATTATATATATAAATATTCAGTTATATATGATAGATTTTTATATTTTTATATGATCAGCGTCATCTGTTTATGCGGACGCTGAAGAATTCATTCCATCTATGCACGATCGAGATTATTATTTTTGCTTCGTGTTTTTATACGTATTTTCATTAACAGAATTATTCACCTTTCAAATTACGCTTTTTTTTCCTTCTGTAGACCTTAATATTAGATGGTGGTTGTTCCGACGCCAAATATTCCTCAATGACCCTTAACATTTTCACCCCTGGCTTTTTTTTTTTTTTTCCCAACAGTATTGTGATATTGATACACATATATATATTTTTTTTTTTTTTTTTTTTCTTTTCGATACACACAATATCTGCAGGACTTTTACATATAACTTAAATCCCCAACTGCAACCCCTTAATTTATTATGTTTTACAATTTGAATAAAGATCAACAAAAACTCTATGTATGACCAAATATAAGTTCTGACCTATAGTATGATAAAAGCATTCCTCAATTTAAACAAAAACCATTTAAAAAAGTGTCAGGAAAATCGGGAAGTCCTCTGGAGGCCATGGTGAAATCAATAAAATTTTAATAAAAGATTCTTTAGTATTTCAAGACATTTTTGTGTAATGAGATAAATATATCTATTAAAATGAGATATCAGTGTTATTTTCATTTTGTGTAATTTAGACAATTTAAAAATCGCACTTTTAACATTAATATATCTTTTTCTCTTCTAATTCTCTCTCCTCTATTCAATATATATATATATATATATATATATATATATATATATATATATATATATATATTTATGAATAAAAATGACAATAGGAAAAAATGGCAATAAGATTTAGCGTTTCGTCCAATGTGGATTTTATCTATTACCAGTTAGGATTTGTCATTTTTATTCATAAATATTTCTTTTTACCGATTAAATTAAAGAAATATATATATATATATATATATATATAAATAAATAAATAATATATATGTAAATAATATATTTAATAATAATTATAATTTTAATAATAATAATAATAATAATCGATGAAAAGGGCATTTTTCCTCTGGAAGAGAAGTGATGTCGAAGGGTTTCATATGTTTACAAAAATAAACTACGAACAAAGGAAATGATCGTGGAAAATTGCAGGAAAACTGGTAGATTTGTCAGCACAAATTGAATAGAATGTAAAGCATTTCATAGTGTTTTATTACTCTTGGGTCCTTAACGATTTGGAATCGGTTTAAACCCTGCCAAAAAAGGTTAATAAAACAGACAAAGGTGGTACTCAGTGAAAGGAACAGCAACACAGGCGTAGATGGAAAAAGAGGGGTTTATTGTAAAAGAAACACTACAGAAAGGTTTAATTTCAAATAAAACTTCCAATGAGTTTAACCATGTCAGTCAGACAGATGGATAGACAGATTAATAGACAAATGAATAAAATCAGACAATTTTAAAACAAAACCACTTACCAGAATATATTACTGACATAGTCCACAATAAAAACAAGACTGGAACATTCCATTAAAACAAAACGGTGAAATATAAAGTTGCTAATTAAAGTAACGCTTGAATTCTTGCAGTTGAGGCACTAAGGATAAAAAAGCTCATCAGAATAATGGTTGGTGCCTTCTTTGATGAAGTTATAAAATTTTTGTTATACCAGCTCTTTTATTCATGTATAAACATTATGGCCGACAAATTTCCGTGTCTGAACAATAACTGAACATTACTTCCGTTTTTATTTAGTTCCCGGAACAAACTGCAAAAAAATGTTATATCCTTAAAAAGGTTACAAACAGACAAAGGTGGCACTCGGATGGAAAGAATAGCAACAAGGCGTAGATGGAAATTAGCAGGGTTTATTAAAAAAGAATACACTTTTAAATACAGGGAGTTGACTTCACACTAAAAAGACAGTCTCTGGTAAAATATATTTTACATAATATAACTGACATTTCCAAAATAATTAATAAGCTCAATGGAAGATTCCATTAAAACAAAATAAATTGAAACCTTGTTGCCAATTTAGATATTTTTTTAAATTCGTTAGTCAGTCACTAAGATTATTGAGATCATCAGAATAATTGTCATGCTTACTAATTAGAAATTACCAAGCACATATACTGAAATTTGTGTTAACCCAATATGCAGATTTTGTGATAAATATTCAGAAACAATTCACCATCTTGTGACAGGTTGCACGGTGTTATCACCCGGTGAATATAAAACTCTGCCAATATCTACACTGGAAAATTTGCAACGTTTTAAGGAAAGGAAACTGTAAGAAACTGGTATGAACATCGTCCAGATCCGGTTACAGTGATAGGCCCTGTAACAATTTCACGGGGTTTTACAATTTATACAGACAGAACAATTAAAGCTAATCGGCTACACACCGTGATCAAAGACAACAACAACAACAAAAAAGAATGTTTTCTTATTGAAAGCATTGTAATATATCTTGGAAGATCTTCAAAATACAAGGACTTTGAAGTGGAAATCTAAAAAAAAATGTGGCACATGAGGACATCAATAATTTTATTTGTCACTGGAGCTTTCGGATTGATTGGAAGTGATTCCTGGTCACCTATACCTTAAAGAGACATAAAACATTTTACTCACATATACAGCGCACACATTACGAAGAGCTGTAACTATTTAAATGTCTGTTGCTTTACGTTTGGACCACAAAGTGATCAGTGAAAAATATCTGATGCTATTTTTTTGACCTTAGGTTTCTAATGGGACCCAGAAAGAAATATTGTATAGAACAGAAATCGAAGGAAATAATAATAATAATAATAATAATAATAATAATAATTCTTAATAATAATATCGTGATTTTTTAAATGATCAATGGAAAATGCCATGAAGCCATTTCTGACCTTAGGTCTCTGGTTGGGAATCAGAAGAAATATATATTAAACAGAAAATCATTTAATTAAATAATAATAATAATAATAATAATAATAATAATAATAATAATAATGTCAGAGTTCAAAAGAATACTTTGTGCAAAACAGCACATATTATTCGCAAAACACTCTCCATTTAAATAAAACGTCCCAAATAAAATATAATTTAGTATGGAGTTTCTCTTTTAACTTGATAGACCCTGTATTAGACTTTGTATTTTTGTTTTCAAATTAATATCTGCCATGAAGATAGCATAATAATAATAATAATAATAATAATAATAATAATAATAATAATAGTAACTATGAACACCACCCAGACCCGGTTACGGAGATAGGACCTGTTACAATTCTATGGGACTACACAATACACACTGACAGAACAATCAAGGCCAACCGGCCAGATATTGTTATTAAAGACCACAAACAAAAACGGTGCCTCCTTATTGATATGGCAGTCCCTGCTGACTGCAATGTATCTTTGAAGATATTCAAAAAGCTGTCAAAATACAAGGACCTTGAAATAGAAATCTCGAAAATGTGGCATATGGGAACATCAACAATCCCTGTTGTAGTTGGAGCCCTAGGACTGGTTGGAAAAGATTGCAGTAGACTAATTGAAGGGATTCCTGGAAGTCCATGCCTCAAGGAGATACAAAAAATTGTTCTGACAAGTACAGCCCACACTTTACGAAGGGCTTTATCTATGTAATTTTTTTTTTTTTTTTTTTTGTCAGTGGAAAGTGTCATGATGCCATTTCTAACCTTAGGTCCCTTGGCGGGACCCGGAAAGAAATGTGTAAACGCCAGAAATCAAAGAAATTAATAATAATAATAATAATAATAATAATAATAATAATATGACAAAATGGCATCAATGGAAAAAATACGAAAAATAAAAAAATATAAAAAGGTAGACAGACTTAGAATGATATGCCGACATTTATTCGGTTATTTAATGTGAAACTGAAGCTCGAACGTTTAAGCTCGATGGTCAGCTATACTCGCCTCGTCAACCATAGAAAAATACGCGGTGAGACGTAAATTTTGTCATTAAGACCTTTATTATTAAAAAAAATTAAAGAAAAGAAAAGAAACCATTACCGAAATTTAATGTTTCTTTTCATTTTATTCATTTTTCAATTTGTTTTTTTTCTTCTTCTTCCTTTCCTATTTTACAAAAATGGAAGACTTATGCTGAATGTGACAATTTTGACCTTTAATATCGTTAAAAAAAATCTGGAGATAACGTATATTTAACTTTTCTTTTTTTGATTTTGTTTCGAATCGAAAATATCGAGGTTAAAACGATAATATTTCAGATCATTCCTCTTTCCTTAAGACTTTTTTTTCTTTAAGATTGACCATTTCTCCGTTTCTTTACCTCACGCTATCCTTGTTCAAACTTATGAGTGTGTACGTCACCAACATTATCTATCTATCTATCTATCTATCTATCTATGTTTAATCTCTCTATATATCTATGTATTTCAGTCTTTTGGAACCTATCTCATCTTTTTCATATCTATCTATCTATCTATCTATCTATGTTTAATCTCTCTATATATCTATGTATTTCAGTCTTTTGGAACCTATCTCATCTTTTTTATATTTATCTATTGTTATCTTAAATCTAAATGATCTATCTATCTATTTTCTATCTAAAAATATTAACTTAGTAAATTTTTTAAATGAGGCACACCTATATTATTTTATATAAATTTGAACAAAGCTGAGAAATTTAAAAACAAAACATTGAATTCCTTTATAAAATAAAATAGCAGGTGTCATCAGTTTTTTAACAGGAAATTTTGAACGAGGAATAGTTTCAAATTTTTTTTATTTTTAAATGAATTTGTAATTAAGAAATATTTGTGCCTTTGACAAAATCTAGATATTAAAATTAGTGAGGCAGTCCTACTAAATTAACCCTTCAAAGATTACGAAGCCTTTTCCTCACTTCCAGTTTTGTCTTTCATTCTAACCTGAAGAAGCCAAAGAGAACATACGTTCTTTCTGCGACAAGCATGGGATTAAAAAAAAAAATTATAAAAATAATTCTTTTTTAATATTTGATTAAATCCCCCAAAGAATTCAACCTCAATCAGAGTGGAGAATGGAGGAGCTGAAATCATGGGACACTTCAAGAAAATCAAATATATCGAACAAATCCCTTAATATATACAACAGAAAAAAAAAAAGGTTTATTTTGAGAATTTTTTTGTTTTTCGTGAAAGACGCATTTAAAAAATATAATTCTAAATTATCGTTAAAAGCTGAAATGTGATATGTTATGTGATATATAATACATTAAAAAAGGAAACGAAACGCAAAATTAAAAATTCAAAAAATGGAAATTTTTTGTCATTATTTCTATTGTAAGAATTTGTGGATTTTTAAATTTATATTATATATATATATATATATATTATAAATATATATATGTATATAAATATAAAAAAAAATATAATATTATATTTAAAATTAGATAATCATTTATATATATATATATATATATATATATATATATATATATATATATATATATATATATATATATATATAAATATAATTTATATATATATATAAATTATATATATAAAAAGAAAATTGTAAATTTCTTTAGTTAATTTTTTTAAAAAAATATTGGATATTTTATATAAATTTTTATTTATTTATATATATATATATATATAAATATATATATATATATATATATATATATATATATATATATATATTTATGTATATAAAAACAAAAAATATGTAATAAAGAAAATATATAAATATATATGGAGAAAATGAATAAGTTTATATATATATTTATATATATATATATATACAATATGAAAGTGATAATAAAAATTATAAAAATAAATATATGTTTATATATGTATATATATATATATATATATATTGTAACAGCATAAATTATTTCATTATTTAAATAAATATATATATATTTATATATATATATATATATATATATTACTCTGTATTTTATATCTTAAAAAACAGAATATTGAATATTTGAAACCGACACATGGTTTGACCTTTTGATTACAATTTGACAAATAGTAAATGATATTTGAAAGAAGGAAATCTCCAAGTTTTTTTTTAAAGGGCGGAATATAGGAAATAATACAGGTTAAAATGAGTCCCCAAACATTAATTCTTACATTGTTTAATAAAAAAGAATTTGCATTCCTTACAATCAAAGACCAGTTGCCATTAATTTATAGATTTTCTATACTTGCTATTTTATTTCATAGCTGGAAAAAATTAAAAAATTCACAAAATAAATGTTTAATATAAAAACCATGTAAGTGAATTTTTGGATTCAGAGACGACTATTTTTTTTTAAGTGGATTTTAATCTTAGCTAAAAATCAGGCATTCAATATAATATTTATGAAATTATACATATACCATATATATATATATATATATATAAATATATATAAAAAAATTAAATGCATTAATAATCCCTCATATCTTAGATCGTTTAGAATTTTTTTTCATTTTAATTTTTTTGAATAAAATCATGGAAACGTAAAATTTTGATGCTTTATGTCATTAATACGATCATTCATGCGTGATTTAAAAAGAAAAATTAAGAAAATAAAATTTTGTTCCATGGTTTTTTCTTTTTTTCAAAAAACCGTTTTTTCAAAAAAAGATAGCGCGAAGGCCAATTTTTTCGAAAATAACATTTAAATTTGTGCTATAAGCAACAAGAACACAATTTTTCTTTTCAATAATAGTTAATATAAATAATTAAAATTTATATTAACAAAAGGGTAAATCCAGCATAGTCAAAATTTTCTTAATAAAATTCGTGCGCATTGATAAACAACACGGTTTTTCGGTCAGAGAGCCGGCGTCTGCAAAAAGGGATTTTATGAATCCGCCCTTTTAGACAAAATTGATAGGACGAGCGACCATCTGCCATGTATAATAAATAAAATATTTTTTTTAACAACTACTTAACTTTATTGTGATTACCATTTTGGTTTTTTAACATTTTGAAATGATTTGATTTTAAGGGCTATTTATGAAAAAAAATTTAAAAATATATATATATATATATATATATATATATATTTATATATATATAAATAAATGGGAAAAATTTTCCAATCAAATACTAATTTTTGAACATTTGCCATTTTAAAAATACTTGGATGATACAAATGTGTAATTGCCAGATTTAGACGAACTGGAAAGTTGGTTCAGGATTGGGGTGAAAAAAAATCGATTTTGGAGTTGTCATGTGGCGGTTTGGTCGATAGGCAGATCAAATTATCTAAATAAACCCATAAAAACCATTCAGACCAACAAAACATTTTAAAAATTTCGCCCGCCATTTCAATTCAGAAAATATGATTTGCTCATGAAATTTTAAAGATTTATAATGCCCTTATATGGAGATGGCTCTTATATTTGTAAACAAAGATTATCTACAGCGGAGAAAAGGGAGAACAGACATCTTTCGCTATCATTTCATTTTTGGTAAAATTTTAAGGGGGGGGGCAATTTTAAAGTAAAAAAATTAAATAAAAAAATTGGTTTGAATTTCAATTTAGTAAACTTGCCCGTTAAAAAATTTAATATTCATCTGTAAAAAACGTTTTTATTTCATTGGATACCTTTTTTTAATTTAAATTTAAAAAAATAAAATCTGAATAATTTTACCAATTTAGATTTTTAATTTTTTCAATTTTACGTTTTGTTATAAAAAAACTTTTTTTCTATGATTACTTTATTTTTTTGTAGAATTGAAAAATCTATAAATTATTTAAAATTTTTCTATTTTCTTCAAATTTTTTTCTTTCTTTTGTTTTCTTTGTTTTCTTTCTTTAATTTTTATTTAATTTAGAAATTTCTTTTTTTTCTTTTTTATTTTCTTTTTTTTCCAAAATTTAAAATCTAAGAAATTTTATTTCTTTTTTTTTCTTTATTTCTATTTTTTTTATTTTTCTTTCTTTTTAAATTATTTCCTTAAAAAATTCTCTTTCTTTAATTTTTTTCTTTCTTTTATTTTTTTCTTTACAAAAAAAATAAAATCTTTTAAAAAAAAATTTTCTTTCTTTCTTTTTTATAAAAATTTGAATTTTTTATTCTTTTTTTCTTTTTTTTCATTTTCTTTTCTTTCTTCATAACATTTCTTTTTTTTATAAAGAATAATTCAAAATTTTTTTTAATTTTCTTAACCTTTAAAAATTTCTTTTGCCATTTCTTTTTTTTCAAAATCTTTTTTCAATTATTTTTCTTTTTTTTTCTTCCATTAGAAAATTTTTCTAATTTTAGGTCTTTTTTTCATTTTTCTTTTAATTTCCTTTATAATGAAAATTTCTGAATTTTATTTTCAACATGTTTTTTTATTTTCTTTTTTTAAATTAAAAAAATTTATGTTTTTTGTTTTTTTTTTAATTTTTCTTTCTTTATTTGAAAATTTCTTTCTAAGATTTTTAAGGATTTTAGAATTTTCTTTTTTATTAAAAAAATGACATATATATTTTCTTTTTTTTTTTTGCCTTTTTTTAAAAATTATATTTTCACTTTTTTTTTTTGAAATTTTCTATTTAAAAATTTATTTTTTAAAAAAATAGGAAATTTATTTCTTTTTTCTTTTTTCTTTTTAATTAAATAAAAATTAAAAAATTTATATAATTATTGATTTTTGATTACATTGACTATTTATATTTACCTTATTATATATATTAATTATAAAATGATAAAAAAATTTTTTTGGCATCTAAAATTTCCAGTGATTTTTTGGGTTTAATCTTATCAAATATTTATTTTTTCTATTTGGATATATTTAAATATATTTATTATATAACAAGAATATATTATAAAAAAATGGATAAAATGATAATTTTTAAATAATTCATTATTTGTTTGTTTTCAGCTAATGATTCTGAAAAATTTGCAGGCCAAAAAGAAAGAAATTAAATTTTTCAACCTTGAAATATATGATTTTCTAAAATTTATATATATTATTTATAAAATTTAAAAAATTGAATTAAAAAGTGTACGAACAGAAAATATCTCAGAAATTAGGCAATTAGGATAAATATATTATTTTATGAAAAAAATGAATTTCAATTCTACATTGAAAAATGGAAAAAATATAGGAAATTTGGAGATCTAAATATAAGACAATTTTTTATTCTTAATGAATAATAATGGAACTAAAACAAATTTGAAACAAAAATAATAAGAATCTTTTGATCGGATAAATATCAGAAAATTTGATTTATTGGGAATAAAATGATAAATACAAAAATAGTCCAATAAAAAATATTTCATTTTAATTTAGAAATTCATGGAAGATTCTTTTGTAGGGAAAATATAAAACAAAAATGAGGAAACAATCAGTTTAAATAATGAAAAAAAGTAAACATAATATATTTGATCAGAAAAAATAACAGTAATACTGAAGGATTCGGATAAATATGGCAACAAGAAGATGAAGGAGGATATGGGATAAATATGGACAACAAAGATGAGGACAATAGTCCGAATAATGTAAATAGTGTACATAATACCTCATCTCAGAAATATAGACAGATACTGAAGGATCGATAAAAAAATATGGCGACAAAGATGAGGACAATAGTCCGAATAATGTAAATAGTGTACATAATACCTCATCTCAGAAATATAGACAGATACTGAAGGAAGGATAAAATATGGTAACAAAGATGAGGACAATAGTCCGAATAATGTAAATAGTGTACATAATACCTCATCTCAGAAATATAGACAGATACTGAAGGATCGGATAAATATGGCGACAAAGATGAGGACAATAGTCCGAATAATGTAAATAGTGTACATAATACCTCATCTCAGAAATATAGACAGATACTGAAGGATCGGATAAATATGGCGACAAAGATGAGGACAATAGTCCGAATAATGTAAAATAGTGTACATAATACCTCATCTCAGAAATATAGACAGATACTGAAGGATCGGATAAATATGGCGACAAAAGATGAGGACAATAGTTCGAATAATGTAAATAGTGTACATAATACCTCATCTCAGAAATATAGACAGATACTGAAGGATCGGATAAATATGGCGACAAAGATGAGGACAATAGTTCGAATAATGTAAATAGTGTACATAATACCTCATCTCAGAAATATAGACAGATACTGAAGGATCGGATAAATATATAACAAAGATGAGGACAATAGTCCGAATAATGTAAATAGTGTACATAATACCTCATCTCAGAAAATAGACAGATACTGAAGGATCGGATAAATATGGCAACAAAGATGAGGACAATAGTCCGAATAATGTAAATAGTGTACATAATACCTCATCTCAGAAATATAGACAGATACTGAAGGATCGGATAAATATGTACATAACAAAGATGAGGACAATAGTGGTAACAAAGATGAATAATGTAAATAGTGTACATAATACCTCATCTCAGAAATATAGACAGATACTGAAGGATCGGATAAATATGGCAACAAAGATGAGGACAATAGTCGAATAATGTAAATAGTGTACATAATACCTCATCTCAGAAATATAGACAGATACTGAAGGATCGGATAAATATGGCAACAAAGATGAGGACAATAGTCCGAATAATGTAAATAGTGTACATAATACCTCATCTCAGAAATATAGACAGATACTGAAGGATCGGATAAATATGGCAACAAAGATGAGGACAATAGTCCGAATAATGTAAATAGTGTACATAATACCTCATCTCAGAAATATAGACAGATACTGAAGGATCGGATAAATATGGTAACAAAGATGAGGACAATAAGAATAATGACAATAATACCTCATCTCAGAAATAACAGATACTGAAGGTGGATATAAATATGGCGACAAAGATGAGGACAATAGTCAATAAATATAGACATAATACCTCATCTCAGAAATATAGACAGATACTGAAGGATCGGATAAAATGGCGACAAAATGAGGACAATATGAATAACAAAGATGAGGACAATAGTCCGAATAATAATAAATAGTGTACATAATAATACCTCATCTCAGAAATATAGACAGATACTGAAGGATCGGATAAATATGGCAACAAAGATGAGGACAATAGTCCGAATAATGTAAATAGTGTACATAATACCTCATCTCAGAAATATAGACAGATACTGAAGGATCGGATAAATATGGCAACAAAGATGAGGACAATAGTCGAATAATGTAAATAGTGTACATAATACCTCATCTCAGAAATATAGACAGATACTGAAGGATCGGATAAATATGGCAACAAAGATGAGGACAATAGTCCGAATAATGTAAATAGTGTACATAATACCTCATCTCAGAAATATAGACAGATACTGAAGGATCGGATAAATATGGCAACAAAGATGAGGACAATAGTCCGAATAATGTAAAAATAGTGTACATAATACCTCATCTCAGAAATATAGACAGATACTGAAGGATCGGATAAATATGGCAACAAAGATGAGGACAATAGTCGAATAATGTAAATAGTGTACATAATACCTCATCTCAGAAATATAGACAGATACTGAAGGATCGGATAAATATGGCGACAAAGATGAGGACAATAGTCCGAATAATGTAAATAGTGTACATAATACCTCATCTCAGAAATATAGACAGATACTGAAGGATCGGATAAATATGGCGACAAAGATGAGGACAATAGTCCGAATAATGTAAATAGTGTACATAATACCTCATCTCAGAAATATAGACAGATACTGAAGGATCGGATAAATATGGCAACAAAGATGAGGACAATAGTCCGAATAATGTAAATAGTGTACATAATACCTCATCTCAGAAATATAGACAGATACTGAAGGATCGGATAAATAAATATGGGACAAAAAGATGAGGACAATAGTCAGATACGAATAATGTAAATAGAATAATGTAAATACATAATACCTCATCTCAGAAATATAGACAGATACTGAAGGATCGGATAAATATGGCGACAAAGATGAGGACAATAGTCCGAATAATGTAAATAGTGTACATAATACCTCATCTCAGAAATATAGACAGATACTGAAGGATCGGATAAATATGGCAACAAAGATGAGGACAATAGTCCGAATAATGTAAATAGTGTACATAATACCTCATCTCAGAAATATAGACAGATACTGAAGGATCGGATAAATATGGCAACAAAGATGAGGACAATAGTCCGAATAATGTAAATAGTGTACATAATACCTCATCTCAGAAATATAGACAGATACTGAAGGATCGGATAAATATGGCGACAAAGATGAGGACAATAGTCCGAATAATGTAAATAGTGTACATAATACCTCATCTCAGAAATATAGACAGATACTGAAGGATCGGATAAATATGGCAACAAAGATGAGGACAATAGTCCGAATAATGTAAATAGTGTACATAATACCTCATCTCAGAAATATAGACAGATACTGAAGGATCGGATAAATATGGCGACAAAGATGAGGACAATAGTCCGAATAATGTAAATAGTGTACATAATACCTCATTTTAGATAAAAAAACAAAGATGTACAATATCCGAATGAAATATAGACAGATACTGAAGGATCGGATAAATATGGCGACAAAGATGAGGACAATAGTCCGAATAATGTAAATAGTGTACATAATACCTCATCTCAGAAATATAGACAGATACTGAAGGATCGGATAAATATGGGCGACAAAGATGAGGACAATAGTCCGAATAATGTAAATAGTGTACATAATACCTCATCTCAGAAAATATAGACAGATACTGAAGGATCGGATAAATATGGCAACAAAGATGAGGACAATAGTCTCGAATAATGTAAATAGTGTACATAATACCTCATCTCGGAAATATAGACAGATACTGAAGGATCGGATAAATATGGAGACAAAGATGAGGACAATAGTCCGAATAATGTAAATAGTGTACATAATACCTCATCTCAGAAATATAGACAGATACTGAAGGATCGGATAAATATGGCGACAAAGATGAGGACAATAGTCCGAATAATGTAAATAGTGTACATAATACCTCATCTCAGAAATATAGACAGATACTGAAGGATCGGATAAATATGGCAACAAAGATGAGGACAATAGTCCGAATAATGTAAATAGTGTACATAATACCTCATCTC